AAAGAATGACCAGACGCTTGCCCTTTTGTTTCTTAATGATCTCCCAAACTAACCATCATGGATTTCAGTTGGCGATATCTGAGTATCTTAGTTCCTTTCCTCCGACCAGCCTGGCCTAAGTTATCKGTTTGTAGATTMTAATCCTCAATTAGATTTTGCTTCTCTATTCGTAGTTGTGCACAGTGCTGGTCRAGAGATATTATGAAGATGTGTATTTTGTTGTCAGTCGAGCGTGACCTTGCCTTGTTAATTATTTGAGGTCCCAATTCAGCATTCTTTTGACAAAAATTATCTCAAGTGCTTTTACCCCAATCAAGGTATTGTCTGTCCGCCGCTCCTCGCCGACTTATATTCAAAATTACTGAGTATAATTTTCGTTATTGTATTTGTGACGAGTCGGTGATTTTTTTATTTTTTTTTTTTCTTGGCTCTGGCTCTGGCTTTTCTAGCCTGGGGGCTCTCTTGGGGTGTAAGGTAGGATTAGGAGAGTTAGGGCAGATTATCGGAGAGAACACACCTTGAGTGTTGCCATTCTTCTTCTTTTGCTGAAAGTGGATACCTCCCCTGTTGTTGAGCCAATGCCTTCCTGAGAGTGGTCTCCCCTTGCTTGTCTTGCAAATGTAGTTGCCCTATCCCGAGAGGAATCACAACCCTCTGTTATTCCTCCTTTTCTCTTCCCCCTCCTTCCCCTTTCTTCTACCTCTCCTTGGAAAACTCTTTGAGTCCTCCCTCCTTCCTTCGGTGGCCGCTACTTTGTGACGATGGTTGTCTCTCCTTGTGTCCGTTCCTCCTTGACAACCTCACCTTGTCTTCGGTCGTTTCTTCCTGTCTAAATGATGACGTTTCCGCAAAAGTATACTACTCTCTGGTTGTCGATTACTCTGCCGTACTATCTACAATCTCTGAATGCCTGTGTAATATAACCTTCGGCTTGAAAACATGTCAACCTCTCTTCACCTGCTTTCGACTATTGCTAATGAAGGTAAGTCACTGCTTGGAACTGTTTTAGTTGTCAGGTCGTTGATTTGCTACGCCTCTAACCCTTGAAAAGAAAAATGTAGACGTCAACAGTGCGCATTACTAACATTCCACCCAATACTAATTCTGGTTGTGTCGGCTGATGACGCCATCCGAGGTTGATGATACCTATCCTTCACTCATTCTCTCTCTTTGCTCTTTGTCCCTTGATCCTACCACCCAATGCCGTCTTAGTTGCTTAAATTAGTACTCACGGCCGCTGACGACGTCTCCCACAGAGAATGAATTGACGCAGAAGTGTACTATTGTTGTCTTCTCCTTAATGAAGAAGTGAACTGCTCGTCGAGGTGCTCTATTCCCTTCTACCTTCACTCCAAAGTTCACAAAATGTGCTATTGCTTTCTTCTTCTTCGTGAGGGAGTGCAATGAAAGAAGATGTGAACAGTTCGCGTCCTCCCCTTACCTTCTCGCCATCTCTGAGATACCTTGTCTCCCGTTTTTGAAGTAAATATCGAGTAAAGAAACGCTTGTCCTTCACGCACTTCAGGTCTATGAAAGCAAGTTTCGTCGTGTTTTCACGGGGACTACTCCCTGAACTCCTACTCGTCCTTTTGCTATGGTTTGTGACATAGCGGTGATGGACACGCTCCTTACTCAGTCATCTCCCGGGGCACGTCAGCTTGTGACGTGGCTTGAGCTAGCGCCCTCTTGCCCTTGCGCGTGTGCGTTCACCTTCTCTCCTTCCTGACAGTATCACGTACAATCTCAGATTGCCATCACCTTCTTGAGAGAGTGAAATGAAAAAAGAGGTGTACAGTACGCGTCCATCCCTTACCTTCTCGCCATTTGTGAAATACCTTGTCTCCCTTCCTTGAAGTAAATGTCGAGTACAGAAACGCTCACCCTTCATGCACTTCAGGTCTACGAAAGCAAGCTTCGTCGCGATTTCACAGGGACTCCTCCCGGAGCTCCTACTCGTCCTTTTGCTATGGTTGGTGACATAGCGGCGATGAAATCTCTCACGAAACTGAGGAAGGACACACGATCCCAACCCAGTCAGCTCACGGGCCACGTCAGCCTGTGACGTGGCTTGAGCTAGCGCCCTCTTGCCTTTGCGCGTGCGTTAAGCGCCCCCACGTTTCATGCTGCCCTCTTGCAGAACGATCTCGTGAAGACCATTAGGTCATCTAGGGCCAAGGCACAATCTCCAAAGCCAAGAACTGGACTCAGTCTGAGAACAGTCGAAGGCCCCTTGTCGTGGATGTTGGGCAAAGTGGGGCCACAAGCGGTTAACAGGCCTTCTCTCTGTGGGGCAAGGTGGTGCCATTTGTCTGGGTTTTTCGTTCTGTATCCTCCATGATTGTGACAATCCAGTGCAATAAAAGAATCTGGGTTTGGGGGGGTCCTTGTGACTGGCAAATTATGAAAGTAACTGGCCAGAGAGAACTACAACATTGGCTCTTTGCAGTTTGAAAAGTCTGATGAAAACCAACGGACCTAGCTCAGTTGGTACACACCCTTGAACTGTTGAACTACAGGCCCGAGTTCAAACACAGACGCAATCAAATGAACAGAACAGAAGAATTCTGAATTACCTGGGGCTAGTCAGTTTAATCATGGTATCTCAAGACTGTCGCCCTTTCAAAAGAGGAAAAAGAAAGGTCTGATGACAAAAAAAGTAGTGGGAATTGACCTGCTCAAACGTGCAGAGCCCACCTCTGCCTGAGAGGGATACTCACACAAGGACTTTTTCAACAAAGCTGTGGACGTGATTGCAGTCAGATTCATCCAGGTCTGGACGTAACGGCAGTCAGATAGATCGGAAAGTGCTAGTGTATGTCCTGAGAGGCTTCTGTGCATCGCCAGATTCTCGATGGGCACTAAATTATTAACATAGTGAGCAGGTGCAAGGTGATGGACACTGAAAAGTGTGGCCGCTGAGTCTACTGGCACATCCTTGTCAGCCAGTGTTGGTTTCAGGGCAGAATATACTCACAATGGGACTTTCTGGGATGTATCTAACTGCAGTTACAGCTTAGGTTCTGCAAGAAATGTCCCAAGTGTGATTATGGTCTAACCCATCACTGTCCAGGCACTGAATGAGTAGATAACGGGCGACAGATGGCCAAGCGTGGTAGCTCAGTGAGTTAGGACTCTAGTGTGGCAAGAGCGAGGTTGTGGGGTCAATTCTGTCAGCCCTCAACCTCCCCTGCCCAGGATCAGTTAGTGGTGGGTTGGGACCCCATGTACTCGCCCCCCAGCCTAGTACAACGCATAAACAGATCAGCGGATGTAGTTGCTGAGTGGGTTGAGCTGGGTGCTGCAAGAGAGACCTCCAGTGTTCGATGCTAATCGGCCCTGTGCATCACATAGGGCACAGGCGGAGATGGGCGAAGTAGGCCTAGTGGGATGGATGATCATGCAGATTGTTAACTTAGGGCCTTGCTTTGGGGGCGTATGGCTGCAGGTGGGATGGTCAAGGGGGAATTTGTAGAGGAGGGATTATCTGGAGGGGGCCCAGTTGATGACAGAGGTGTGGGAGCGGATGGTGACCGTGTCCGAGACCAGAGCTGCGCTAGGTGATTACAGATACAACTACAATGATTGGAGGAGGCTAGTTGATGACCGAGGTATGGAGATGGATGGTGGCCATGTACCTACTGATGACAGAGGCTAGAGTACCTCCAGATGATAAACAAGCCACAATGACCACAAAATAATGCACAACCACAAGTGAGTGGAAGGTAGGGGGGCGGATGGTGGCCATACACCTAGTGATGATAGGCTAGAACCTGTAGGTCATATTAACAACATAGGAACCACAACACGAGTGGAGGGTTCTACTAGACGACTAAGGTAAGGGAACACATGGTGGCTGTACCCTGGTGATGGTACCAGTAATAGCTGTGCTAGGTGGGTATACTCGGGGTTGCTCAGGGGGTGTCATAGGTTGGGGGATCCATTAGACACTGGTATCTACTGTGTACACAACTAGATCAAGACACTGGGGAGCCCGGGTAAGTTTGGGGGCATTAAAGCACCAGTACAACACATATCGGCACGTGGATGTCAGCATGAAACCCGCACCACTTCGGAGGCCGCTGATTTTATTTTTCAACAGCGGGCCTGGCCGCGCGGCGCCTCTGAGTTTTGCTTGTGGCGATACAAACTTTCTGCAAGGCTGGGGCCGTGTACTAGCGGTTTAAGGGTCTACCCATAGAACCTGTGAAAAGAGAGTTATTCGCAGCCCGTCAGGGATGCGCTTTCCCCCCCTGAGACATTCAACGTTCAACGTCGAATTTCAACGTCCGTGGTCGTCGGGAGGGTGGGCATTGAGGTTTTGGGGCCTCGCAAGGGCCAGGAACGCGTAGGACCGGTACCTGCCCGTAGGAGGCCGACAGGAGGCCGCCGTCCTTAAGCCTTTTTCGAAATTGAAAAGGCGCGGGTCCACTTTCATCGAATAGCATAGCACCTCGAATAGACAACGTACACTTTGCATTCGAACACAACATGTACCATTTCTATTCGGATTTCAAAATGAAAAAAGTCTTGTATTCCAATAAAATTATTATTTGTTTTTTTTTGGAGGTCAGCGCCTGCCCTTTTTTTTTTTTTTTTTCAGCGCCTGCCCTTGTGCTCCCGGCCACTGACATCCTGCATGCTGCAGGTCTC